ATTCATGTCAATAACTTCCTCCAATAACAAAACAAACTGCCAGATATCCAGCTTTACATATGGCATTTAAAAAATAGCAAAATTATATAATTTACAACCATTTGCAAGAAATATTTCTTTGCGAATATGCTAAAGTAAAATCATTTTCTTACTTTGTGTTGATTGATAGTAAGTGGTGAAACATTAACAAAAGACCTGAAACTTTCTTTCATAACAGAAAATTCTGTCACTCTCAGTCTGATCTGCAAAGATCAAAATGGCTTACCTTAGTATTCACTTCAATTCCGCTAGCCTTGGACCTGTAAAATGCTTTTCATGGCATGGAAACCATTTTTTCAATTAATTCCCATCCACAGACATATTCAACCCAACAGCATTCATGTGAATACCAATCTGTACCTTTGTGACCTCTGTGAGACTTTACATAATATCTCTAGATGTTTTGCGACAACGCAGAAAAGTGGCAGAAGAATGCACTGCAGTTCTGTTTGCTGGAAACACACAGACTCAAGGCTAAAATTCAAACTGAACACAGAAAATAAGATGTCAGGGTAAAGCAGCATGAATGCACAAAATCGTGACTTCTGAGTGCTTGGATATAGGAAGGCATTAAAATCAACAACAAAATATTAATACAATTATATATATATATATATATATATATATATGTGTGTGTGTGTGTGTGTGTGTGTGTGTGTGTGTGTGTGTGTGTAAAATCGCACAAACTTTTTTTTAATTCTGCCTCTTATGCTCAGCAAGCTTGTATATATTTCATACAGATATACATACACTAAAAAGTTGCTTAATCTATGGTTGAATCATTAGTATGTTTCTAGCATGTTATTTGTTTGGCAACAGTTTTTCTAAGCCTAACTGATGGAGTGTGTATATTGTAGGAATTACATCATGGCCATATTCCAGGATGAAAATGTCAAGATTCATCAGACTCAAATTGGTTGGAGGGAGCGTAAAGAATCATTTTCACAAATGAATTGGCCTCTGAGTCCAGACCTTAAATTCATTGAAAGTCTTTGGGATGTTCTGGAGGAGACTAGAGTGCTGGACTCTTGCATTGTCGTCAAAACAAGATCTTGACTAAACATTGATGCAAATAAATGATGAAAATAAATGTGATGTTATTTCTAAGCATTTATTTGATTTGACAATGCAAGCGTAAGAAGAACTGTTGCCAAACATATGCTAACACAGTCTCAATCACTGCATCAATGATCCAAACATTGACTCTTAAAAGTTCACTTTTAAAAAAAACTTTTGCTGATAATTTACTCACCCCCATGTCATCCAAGATGTCCATGTCTTTCTTTCTTCAGTCGAAAAGAAAGGTTTTTGATGTAAATATTCCAGGATTTTTCTCCATATTTTTCTCTGAATGGTTTTACGTGTCATTTGGTTGAACGAACGAAATGAATGAATTGACTCAGAAAAAGATTCGTTCAACATGAACACGCATGACAGAACAGAGCAAGGCGACCATTTGAGCTTATAAAACTTAAATTTTGTTCATTTTTTTTTTAAAAGAGCGATCGCTTGATAAGACCCTTAGTCATCGTCTAGAATCGTTTAAAACCCTTTGAACAGTTTGCAGTTTGCACTGAAACGGTCTTTTGAAACTTGAACCGTTGGTTACTAGTAATTGCATTATATGGAGAAAAACCCTGGGATATTTTCATCAAAAACCTTAATTTCTTTTCAACTGAAGGAAGAATGACATTGATATCTTGGAGGGCATGGGGGTGAGTAGGCTAATTATCAGCAAAAAAAAAAAAAAAAAAAAAAAAAAAAAGTGAACTACTCTGCATGTACCTATATTTAAATCCAAACAGTGACTTTTTAATTTATTTTGGCCAGGCAGTGTATAACAGAAAACTATTCTTTAATAAAGACAAGTGTCTCTGTTGTCCCTCAAATTTGTGTGCAAATTTATGTGTGTAGCACATTTTGGCAAAGTACAAACACACATACCGTACATGTTCAGATAAGCTTCAAAGCTGCTGAGGAAGAACACAGCGTTCACTAGAAGACAGGCTCCTGCTGTGGCTCTGACATCTCAAACATCCTTCCTTACCATCCTGAGCTTCCTAAAGACTCCAGCACTCCGCTGACGGAATGAAAACGACACAAATAAAGCACACCTGTAGAAAGACCGAGTAAACAGCTCAACTGGTCAGGTTTTATGTATATTTTCATCACGGAATCTTCTACAAGATTGTGACTGATAACCTTAATAAGTCAATGTAGCACTCTCAAAGTCTGCATGTGGTGTTCATATTTTTTCCATAATTTGGACACAGGGTTTGTATAAACACTTGAACAATCAATGGAGGATTCGTAGGAATCATGAACAGAGGACACAAGAGGCACTAAACTTCAAAATAAAAGCACACCAATTAAGGAGACATGAAAACAGACTAAGAAAACATTTTAACACTTTTTTATTAGGTCTGATTGCTTAGAAAAGCAATCAAACACTTCTCTTAATAGGTATCATTTATTGCACAAACACTATGAGACACCAATTTTGGGGTAGAAAAATTGGTGGTGCTTTTGTAAATGTTCATCTCAAATGATGACCTATAGGCTATAAATCATTGCCAGACCCTCTTGTCCATCGCTTTCAGAGAAGACAAACCACATAAACTGGATTAATGCTTAAAGAAACGTCTACGTCTGAGGGATTTTGAGAGCCGGTTCAAAAGTTCATAGTTCTGTCATGTGTGACTGTTCCAAAATCCCTCCACTAACAAGCTTGTTGTACAGTATCCTCCATCATTTAGTTCCAGCCCTTCTCGCTCTCTTTCTCCCACGCTTACTTTGCTCTGCTCAAACTCTGCTTGTTCTCCAACAAAGGCTGAGTGATGGAAACAATGAGAGTTAAATACTCAGTGTCTCTTCAAAGTGAGCTGAGGTGAAGGACAGTGCTGGTAACTACAATCAAATAGTTTCTGGGAAGTTATAGGCTTAGAGTTAGAGGTATGTTGAGTTCTAGATGTAGCCATGTTTCAATGCCGGCATCATGTAATTTTCCTGTTGAGGAAGCTGAACTCTGCTTGAAATAATGTGTTTCAGTTTGTTGGAGCTTGGAATTGCATTTGCAACCCATTTTACTTTGCAACATGATGTATTTATGAGAGAAAAAGTACATTCAATGAAAAAAAAGAGTCTTGACTTGATCTTATCCAGGTTGTTGGATCTTGAGAATTGAGCCGACATGTAAGGAGCCTGAAAGTCAAGTTACTATATTTTAATCAATTTTATTCACACCTATTGTTGCTATTATTTCATCACAAAATGTTAGCTCTAAATTAGCCTACATTAATTGCGAGACTTTTGAAAGCATTACTAGGCTTAAAACAATTAGTCTGCTTTATTGATTGCACCAGTCAATCTGTAGCCTGGCATGCCAGACCTACATCAAGATGTTAGCTGCACACTTTGCTGCAAAATAATTTTTGCTGCCGCTAGGGTGCGTCTAGATTTCTAGGCTAGTCAATCTGTATTTCATGGTGACATTCTCACTTGTGAATAGGCTATAACTTTCCATATGATTGAAATGGATTTGAAAGAGATCAAGGCAAGCAGTTGGACTGGAAAGACAAAAATGACTCAGCATTTCATGAAACTGCATTTAAGTGTTGCGTTTCATCCCAGTGTGACAACTATGACTCACAGCAGTCCACTAGGACAAACCTCAACACAACATGATAGCGAAGCGATACTAAAGTTGTAAAATAACTTACAGAAGGTCTATACTGACCTCCAGTGACGAGAAAGGTGAATTCCTCCAAGTATGGCCATGCCCAAAATCCTAGAATAATTTAGAAGAACTTGTCACAGCTATTGTAGGTCACTGAGCTAATTACTAAAAACAATGTAGCTTTTTAGCGTTATGGTTCATATTATTATTACTACCGGGTCATGCGAAAACAAGGATACATATATCGGAAATATGCCTACATAGTCACGTAATGCTGGCGTTGTTAACATGAACAATTTGAGAACAAAGTATAGCCTAATTTGCGCAGTTTTGCGTGATATTATAAGTGATTTTTAGATTGCAATGTCAGAACCACAACAAAAGTGGATGTTTCTTACTAGTTCAGATGACATTTTCCGGTGAAAATTCTTATGTTGGTCATACTTCCATAATAATCTGTGATATAATATTCCATAATAATTCCATAATGTAATGCTATAATAATCTGTGATTCTGAATTCCAGTTTTCACACTGGCGGCTGGCTGACAGCCTCACATTCTCCTCAAACATTGTGTTCATCTGCGCTGTGCCATGTCAAGGGTGTTGAAGTACAACTCACGTAAAATGGATAATTCCACAAATAACCAGAGATGGCAAAAAAAGAGGGAAAACTGCTGCAGACTGCAGCTGTAAATTGAATAATCAAGTTTTCCACCATTTTAATCACTTACAGCAAAAATGTTCGAAAACCATTTTGAAAATGTTTGCATTAAATTCTGTAAACATTTCATTTCTGAATGTTCTATTAACGTTCAAAACATGTTTTAACATTTTTGTTGGTTTTCTGAATGTTCAGGGAACATTCAATTATTTGATCATTTTTGAACGTTGAACTATGTATAAATAATGCTTGTGTGCTAACCTTTTGAGATCATAATTAATGACCAGATAACGAACATTCTATTAACATTACTGAAAACAAAATGTGTTTATAGCTTTGAGAGAAATTGTCAGAATATCCAAAGTTCTCAGAACGTTAGCTGGATTTTTTATAGTGGAATGACAAAATAATTTTGTACAACTTTTGTAAGGTCATTAAAAACTGCATTTAACTATGCAAGAATTTTTAAATGTTGTTTAAAAAAGTTTGAAATCTAATTTCAACAACATAAGTTTGAACTCTTTATTTACACTCAACAAAACAGTTAAAAAAAGTAGAATGAAACTGACAATCATATTTCAAGTAATAATATTGCTCTTATAATGTTTTTTTTATATATATATATAAAAAAATGGCCTGTTGCTAGACTCTTCCGGATAGAACAGTGTTGTATGAGCAATAACAGATGATTCAGTTGTTATCAGGGTAATAAACAATTTCATGTGCTTTAAAAATGTATAAAACACAACAAAAGACTTGCATTCATTTAAAAAGTGCACTCGTCCAGAAATTGTTAATGTCCCATAAGACACCAATTCGGCTGTGAAACTAGTTCACAGTAGCATGACCATTACAGAGGCACACAAAGAATGTGCACTGTCTTTGGCTGGACACACATTGGGATTCTCCAAATACAGCAGATAATCTTCAGTGCATGCTCTTTGGTTATCAAACTTCACAGGACTATGTGAGCCGTTGAATCCACAGGATGAAGGCAGCTCAGACTTCATTTGGGACTAGGGTCAGGTGGAAGAAGAGTGGTCCGAGTGTGCGGGTGGGGCCGGGGAGAGTGAGGAGTAGGGCCGCGGCTGGTCTAGATTCACATAGTTGATCTGGAGGTTGACGTAATGTTCCCCCTCTAGGTCGGAGTGGATCTCTTGAATGGCTTGTACGAGCGTTGAGAAACCTGGTCTCTTCTCAGGCTCAGGATGCCAGCACTGCATCAGGACGGACCACCTATAATACAAAAGTGCAATACACATTCCAGAATTATATATATATATATATTAGTATAGTGATTTATAATATGTAATTTATACTTTATAGGGCCAGATTTCCTAAGAGAAACCCTCTTTTGGTGATAAAAAACGTGGACAGGGTTATTTTTGCGGCTCATCTTATTGCATTTGAATCAGTTTCCATTTCAAATGCAAAAATTATGTTTAGAAAAGTATTTAAACATGCAAGACGTGATTTACTAAGGTTTGCGCTAGTCAGTTTACTGGTATTTTGGCCATTATTTAACGCCCAAAAAAGCACGCCTTAAACCAAATGCTGATTTGTGCTGCTCTTGGTAGATTTCGTTGGTCATTATGGAAATGATCCGGCTGCCTCTGTCTCCTTTAATTTGTGCATCGTCGTCAGTAGATCACACGCATAGCTTTCCAGTCCCATGTGCCCTTTCTTGGAATTGCACTTTCATGCTAATTTACCCTGTTGAGCAAATCTGGCCCATAGTATATAATCAATGAGACACCAATTTTGATTCCACATGAAATGCCGCCTTTTAAATGAACAGCAGGTAAATACACATAAAATCATACATGGAATCAAAGCAGTATTGTGGCTGTGGCAGTCGACGGCCTTGCATCAGATATGCTGTAATGTCATACGGGTCCACATCAGGATATGGACTGGCCCCTCTTGTCATCATCTCCCACATCAATACTCCATAAGACCACTAAAGGGAATACAATGCATACATTTGTATTTATATTATATAAAGAATTTAGCGTCATACCTACCTGCTGAAATTTAAATCCCTCTATTTGATACATTTACATAAACACAATTATTTTTTAACCTGACTCTGATTACCCCAATTAATCATGTGATTTTAAAAACATGATTCTTGAAATGGTATAAAGATTTTTCATGTTTAAACATACCACATCTGATTTAGTGGTGAATTTCTGTGTCTGCAGACTTTCTAAAGCCATCCATTTGACTGGCAGCTTTGCTCTCTTGCTGTCCTGGATGCTGTAGTATTCCTTATCATAGACATCTCGTGCCATGCCAAAGTCAGCCACTTTCACTGTAAAGGACTCATCCAGCCTAGGAAAAGCAGTTCCATTATATTCGATAGAAATGCATTTGTCCATACTCATTGTACTTTGGTAGGACAAAATAAAGGCTGTTGTTTACAGTTTGGAATATACATGCCTTACTAGACACATTATGATAACTCAGGTTGTCGGTTACTTACATGCAGTTGCGTGCAGCAAGGTCTCTGTGCACAAATTTCTTGTTTGCAAGATACTCCATTCCTTTGGCAACTTGAAGACCAAAGCCAACCAGGTCCTTCACAGTGGGATTCTGAACATGAAAGATATATTTATGAGGCATTTTTCAGTGTAATATTTTAGTAAGATGGCCTGATTTTAAAAAGACTCAAATGTTTCTGGATAAACATCGTTGTTGGTTCCCGAGTAACATTACTATCGACAAATCATATTTTAGGGTTAAAGTTAGGCTTAAATGGATACTCCACTTTTTTTGGAAATAAGCTCATTTTACAACTCCCTTAGAGTTAAAAAGTTGAGTTTTACCATTTTCAAATTCATTCAGCCGATTATCTGATATTTAGGAGAATATCAGTCCCATTGAATTCCATAGTAGGAAAAAAATATATACTATGGAAGTCAATGAGCCCAGAAACTGTCTGGTTACTGATATTCTTCTAAATAGCAGAAAATCGGCTAAAACCCAACTGTTTAACTCTGGGGGAGTTGTAAAATGAGCCTGTTTTTTAAAAAAATAGTGGAGTATCCCTTTAAGAAGGGGTTAGGGATGAGCTGAGTTTGAGTCATCAACCTATCAATTCTGATGATTAAAGTAATGGTTAAGATACAGCATGTTGTTCTAGACACTGAGTTGTAGTATAAATTGAATGTGCTTACCCTCTGTGTAGAGCGGATGAAATGCCGGAGGTCTCCATGTTTCATGTATGGGAGGATCACCAGGGGAAGTCCATCACTGGGGAGCACAATGCCCAGGAGAGACAGGACATGGGGGTGGTGGAAGGCCTTCATAAAGATTCCTTCTCTTAAAAACTGCTCCACCTCCTCCAGATCAGTGATCCCTTTTAAGAAAGAATAAGACATGCATATTTATGATTGTCTTTTCCATAATAGCTAGACATGTTAATGTTATAAAGTAAACTGTAATGTAAAATACTGTAATATCACATGTTTGTCTTTATTTAATATATGTCTTTTCATAAGCTTACTAAAATACTTTTTTAACCTAGGCAAAATATTGTATCAAAGTGTTGCGATATTGGTCAAAGTGTGCTATCCAATGGATAATAACTAACACTCCCTTAAAGTTAATCTTTATTAACACTAATACTTTGATAACAATGGTAAATGCAATCTTTAGCAAATTTTGATTCTGTGTATTATAATGTTGTGATGCCCGAATTCACTTTTAAAATGTAAAATGATTATATATATATTTTTTTTTTTTGATTATTCAGTAATTGGCCATAACATCTGATTTTTTTAGCCACATTTTTAATATTGGTGCACCTTTATTTAAAAGTGTTAATTTACTTACTATTGAGTGACTTGACAGCACAGTGAATCTCTTTATCACCACTATCAATAAGATATCCATGATACACCGTTCCAAAATGACCTGAGAAAGATTTGGGATGAGTATTAAGATTTGGGATGAGAATGAACTATAAAAATGGAAAATAATGTACCAATGCCCTGACAAATGTACCTTTGCCAATGATTTGGTCATGCTGGATTTTGACCTTCTTAGGTGGGATCAAAACATCCTTCACCTCCTCCAATAGATCTGGCCGGAGAGCAGACATAGAGATCGTCTGAGATGGCATCAAAGGAGCTGCTGCAGAGTCCATCGTAGGACTGGAGAACGTTGTGCTCGAGGCTTGGAATGGAGAAACTGACAGACCTACAGGACACAATTTATTTTCACTGAAGAATGGATGCTGTTTATAAATGATGTCTCATAGTTTTCACAGGTTGTCTCACCTCTTCTGTAGTCACCATCAGGTGATCTGTCATAATTCTCCACTGCCGTGCGAGATGAATGCATGGATAGTCGAACCTGAGCAAGTGCAGCTGCCAACCAAAGAGTTTTGTTTTGTTTTTTACATTCATATTCACAAAATTTGACATTTATTTTTCATACAGTGAAGGGCCCCTCATCCTATTCTTGGTACCAAAAGGTTATTAAGGCCACTTACCTTTCTTTCTCTTGCGCTCATGTGCCATGGCTACGTAGGCCAGAGCTGCCCCCACGCAAACTGCAGCTATGATGCCCAGCACCATGCCCAAAATAAAATTATTCTTTGTAGTAATTACCACACCAATGTCATATTCTTCTCCATTCACAAACAGCTGAGAAAAACGAAGTGGAAGAGAAGAGCATCATGAATAAAAAACAGAGCCAGCTTAAACGTATCAAAGCTGAATATGTCACAGACTCTGACCTTGACTGGCGCCCCCTGGCTAGGGATTGTCAGATTTTTGGGGATCCGACAGGTGATTTCATTGTCCAGAACTTTAGCTTTGCAATCCACTCCATTAATTGTCATGAGGATTTCCATGCAACCGGACACCAGGGTCAGTTTTTTGTGCTGGAATAAAAACAAGCATTTGATTAGATTATAATACAACCAATTTGAAAATCTAAGAATAGTTTAAGTGATCTTGTTAAAACCAGCATTCATTTTTACAAAGTTTTAGCCATAATTGTAATTTAATAAATCATTTATTGTGTTGATTTACATGTCATGGAAGTCAGTTCGAGTTATTTTAGCCCCCCAAAAAATTAAATATTACAAAATACATTTTAAAAAACACTAAAATAGAAAACAGTTATTTTAAATGGGAATAATATTTCACAATATTACAGTTTTACTGTATTTCTGAACAACTAAATTAATATTTGATTAAAAAGATAAATATATTTTAAAAAAATATATCAACATTTAACAAAAACATGTGAAAACTTGGACTGGTCAGATCCTATACTTTTTAGTTAAAGGTCTGGCTATGTCAGACTATAAAACCCCATATTTAATATATGCAACCACCAAGACGCACATGCAATGAGACTTCATCCTGCCCTGGTGTGAGCTCAAGCACATGGCCATCTGTTTCAAATGGGATGGGCTCCCCATCAGCATGGCAGGTAAAAGTCTGAGACAGGAGTTCCTTGGCTCCATCCAAATCGACAGAAAGAATTCCTGATGACTCCTCACATACTGGGATTTTACATTCCATCTGGGTGGGATTCCTTTGACCAACACACACCTAAGAAGGAACATTATCCAATAAGTGGCAACATATTCACTATTTTCAAACATGGCTCTTCAAAATACAAATGAGTCCTACAGTTTGCACTGGTCTTGTGTTGTTGACTCTGTAGTTAATGACGGCCTGGGAAACAGAGTCCAGATTCTGCCCAGTGATGGTTATTTTGGACCCTCTTCATTGTAGCAGCACCCCAAAAAAATACATAATGGACAATTTAATGGCATTTCCCATCATTTACTGTTAAAGACCCCATTAAATGGTTTACAAAAGAAAAACTGAACGTTTTGACTCACCTTCTAAAACCGCAGTTGGGCTTCACATCCGTCACCTCAGGATTCACCATGTAGCTAAAGGTTTTTGAGGCTGAAATAGTTGTTTCATCAATTACAACCTTCACATCTACTTCTGAAGTCTCCTCAACACTTTCAGACCTGCAAATGATAGATGTTCCATTGCTGGAGATGCTGTGGAGAAATAACAGGAGAAAAATCCTCAGAAAGCAGTAGTTAAAAATGTAGTACTCACATCCCATAATATTTCTAAACCATGACTTGTAACTGTTAAAACAGTGAATTTCATAACCTGGCACAATAACCTTTCAACAGGGCAAATTCTGTCTCCAAGGATGACCGTTCTGCTTCCACCCGCATCCAGATGTTTTCCAGACAGGGTGACCAGGGTTCCTCCAATCTTAGGTCCAAAGTTTGGATTGATATCTGTGATTTCTGGGGTCTGATGGAACATATTAGGTATGACAGAGTTTTATCAATCTAAAACAGCAAAATCATACATAATTACTTAACATAATCAAGTGGAATAATTAAAGATTGAGAATGTTTTAGTCATTACCACAAAACCGAAGTCTTGTATGCTAGCCTTCCCAAAGATGAAGTATCCACTTCCCACTCTTTTTTCATTCACTTCCATTGTTATATCAACACTCTGCTCCAGGCCTGACACTTCACCTTCAATCCTACACACCAGCCTGAGAGATGAATGAAAAATAACATTCATAATAATTCATTCTGTAAACTATTACATAGTATTATCTGAAATGAAGCTAAAATAAAATAACATAAATAATAGATGAAAAAAACAACCTACTAACTAAATTAAAATGTTTAAGTTGAGGTACTAAAATAAATCTCAATTAAATTAAATAAGCTTAAAGATAAATATAAATATGGTGTAAAACAAACTAATAAAAATGACAAGTTTAGCTTAATTGAAAATGACAAGTTTAATTAATTGAAACCTGAAAATATAACCATAAAAGCTATTATATAAATTCTATTAAATATTTTAATGGTATATAAAGCTAAAATACAATAGATAAAACACATATGTATGCATGTGTGATCATCAATATGAGTAACAACAAAGGTTATCTGTACTGCACTGATTTTTGTTCTGAGTATCAATTTCCCTGAGTTTCACTGCTTTTGCATGTGATCTTTAACATTTGTGCATTTTATGAAATTTTTGTTCACCTGTATCTGGTCTGTACTAAGTTGTAATTGACACTCATTTAAAGCTTGTGGTTGCAAAGTACTCCTGCCCAGACAAAAACAGTTTTTTGTAGACCCGGTTGAGCAGGTAACATTTCCTAAATGTTATGCAGGTTTGTTTGACACGTTGAACATTAGCTATTAAAAAAAAAGGTTATGCTTTGATACACCCCTGCCACAGCTTCTTGTTTCAGTAGAAAGAAAAAAAGTATTTGTCAAACCTTTTTGTGGGGAAACTAAAATATGTGTGTCACTTACTGGGAGCTACTGCTTTTCTCTGGTATAACAGTGCAGTTGTTATTTCCCACTTTAACCTGGTGAGAAGTTTGAGTGATAGCAGGTCGGGAAGCTGATTGGAAGTCCCAGCCGCAGAGAGTAAGGTCACTCTTACCATTTATGGGCACTGTACTGGGGAAAAACTGAAAAGCAACAGTGCACAAAAATCAAGTTTTACGGGTTGTGCATAAACCTCATACTGAAGTATGTTATTTGGATCAGCCCCGAACCTAAGGTAAAACATGACTGTACAACATGCCTACGTTTTAAGTAAAAAAAAAAAACAATGTCAGTCAAGAGTCTGGACACAGACTTAATTCATCTCTCATGAATTTATTCTCACCAAGGCTGTTGTGTATAGTACAAAACTAAGGTTCCTTTTCACTCAAATAACTACACAGCTAAAGCTGGCCTGGCATTGCATCCGGTGTGAGCCAAGGGTGAGAGTCCAACAAGAAGTGTTAACACACGCCTGATATGACAATGATATTATCAGTGCACACTGACCATATATAATGAGAAGTGCAAACTTAAAAGACAGACAGTTCATTGTGAGTTTATATTTACTGGCAAATTATCGTCATATCAATTGGCAATGCGTTACCTGGGTGATCACAGGCGGGCAGGAAATGCTACTCCACTGATCTTCACACTTTTGGGAACAGACTCCACCACACCAGCTACATCCCATAAACTCGGGCGCCGCTAAACAGACTGAACAGTTGAGGAAATGGGCACAGCCTGGACCTCTGGGAGACACATCTATCAGCTGTACATAAGATGAAGAGAGGCAGATTTGACATTGGATGGATGTAAACAGAAAAATGCAGATGAAAACTTTCAATTGATATTTTTGCTGATGGCGGTCTCAGAATAAACGTGCATACCTTGTTTCCAACAACAAAGAGCAGAGACTCGGAAGAACGAATGGCAGCCATTCGTGAAACGCTCTGCTTTTCTTCCACAAGAGAGTAGTTGGCAAACACTACAGGGACTGATTTGCTCAGAATGACCTGAAAAGTAAACTAATTCTTTATGTGTTTATTTAATAGAATGATATTTAGTCACAGCTACCGGATAAAAAACATGCATAACATTTGTCCTTATAAGGGAAAAAATTCATTCATAGTAACCATCCAATATATGGATGGAGCCAAAAAAAAGCTTGGCCTATGATCAGATTGGCCACTGATTAGAGGGAAAGATATGAACTTTAAACTTTTTAAAAACAGTTAAGAAGAGGATTCAGAGGGGGGCATGCAGGTTGTTGCAAATATTTATGGAGCTGAGATGAAAGATTGTAGCTTTTGTTTGCTCCATACACATTTGTTTGCTCCATATTAAAATATAGTAAATTTCATATTATATTATATACATATCATATAGAGTAAAAAGTAAATTTCGATAAGATGCAAATCATTATCCACAGTTTTTGAAAAGTAATCTGTTTCTACCAAAAAATAGTGATGCATTATTAACCTGCAAGAGCCTCCCATGATCCGTGCCGATGTGTGCCACAGTCTTGGTCTCAATGGTGGTGACCAGAATAGAAGTGAAGAGAACATTGTTCATCTTTCCATTGAAGAAGTCCACTCTGTAGTAAGGCATGGCCACCATGGTGGGAAGAGCTTTGCAAGTCAAATCGTCTGGATTCTAGACAAAATAGAACAAAATGAATAAATATATTTTGTGACTGCAATTGTTTTTTCATGTAACATTGCTTAGCAAAAAAAAGCTGTAAAAAATTAAGAGTACACAGATAATGTCAATTTAACGAACTTAAAACTTAAAAATCAACAATTACAAGATAATACACTCCATCTCCTGGTTTTAAAGATAAGGCTTAAGCCTAGTCGCAGACTAAAATGCATGTATGAGCTGTTTTAACTGAAAGCAACTTAAATACATTATATGTACTTATATACATATCTTAAAATACGTCAGTGACATTGTTTTGTCTCAAGATGCACACGTGTAATGTTTCTTTTTTCTTTTGCATGTTTATGAAGGCTACTTACAGGTCTAAATTGAACTAAGGCCAAAAATTAGGCCTTATATGTGAAGCTCAATGTATTATTTGAATAAACAGCTATATTTTAATTTCATTGACACTTTCATCAAATTCAACATTTTCCATTTCCTGGGCCATTTTTATTATGATTTGCTTTACTGACTTCAAAAAGGGGGGCATTGTGACAGCAAAAAATGCATCCACAGCAACAGGAAAGCAGCAGCACCTTTAAACGGAAGGCTCCAGACACCATCTGGCAGTAATAAATGATTTCCTGCCCATAAAACTTGAAACCTTGTACCAAATTAGGATTTTGTGGAATATAGTATATCAACATGGAACACAATAATCCAATTCGAATCTAAGTGATACATGAGTAAGGTACAAAAGTAATCTAAAAGTAATCAAAAAGTAGTCAGAATACATTACCTAAAATGAGTAATCTAGATTATGTTACTAACTACAATTTTCATCATTTAATTTGTAACTACAATTTGCAAGTAATCTATATATATTTACAGACTTTCTTGCTCCCATGGTAATAAAAGGAGAAATATTTTCCATACTTTAAAAAGGATGTAAAAACTTCTTAGTATCATTAAAGAGGCAAGATATTACAATTCGCCTGAAGTAATATAACTGTGAGAGAAATTTTAATTGCTATTTGCTGAAAATCTAGACCTCCATCAAGGAGGCATAGTTCATGAGACCGATCCAGTTCTCTTTGAGAAGGTATATAAATAAAGAATCATTTTCATAATAACTTAGTAGTATGTAAGTGATAAACGTATCTAATAAATCATTTGTTACATCCACTATAACTAATGAATGGATTAAAATATTCTGTAAAATATAATGGAAGTGCAAGAAATGAAAAACAAATAACAATGTATGTGAGATGTAAAGGGTGGAATGATTTACAATGGACATGCATGCGCAATCTTAGAAAAACTATAATAAGAGGACAGCATTTTAAATGTTGTTTTATTTCAGGCAATCCCCTTGTTATCTGTGTTTCTATTGGTTAAAAGCAAACTATTGACGTCACTACTGAATATCCTACCAGCCCACTACATACTTTCTTTGATCTTTCAGCTCTGGCTCAACACCTGTTTAAGATCGTGAGCGATAGAGCAAAATTCAGCACAAAATGTTTGCCACAGAAAGTTTAGTTCACTAGTAAGGTATTGAGTGACGTATTATTTCATGTATGAGCATGTGGCGACTGGTATCGACAAAACAGAAAGTGACATCATGGATTCAGCAGACTTAATCCACACGCAATGCGAGTGTCTGATAAAGCCTGACTGTCACTGAGATCCCTGAGCAAGTGCAGCTCCACATCTGAGTTTAAAGCAAAATCAAATGTTTGTGTGAGTCATTTCCTGAAAGTGGCTTTACTAACCATCAAATATTTTATGGTCCACTCCTTTTAAGGTACAGGTTGTGTAATGTAAACTAGACCAATTACATAAACCCTTTGACTGAACACAAGATGGGGACAAGTCTTGAGGTACAGGTAAAGCATAAAATGGCAGTAGACAAATTAAAGTGACTAATTCAGCTTTTCAGTAAGGCAAAGTAAACATTCTTGACAAAAAAAATGCTAGGGTGATCCGAACGGTCGCTAAGGCATTACTAGGTGGTTGCTAGGGTGTTCTGAAGGTTGCAAGGGCATTGTGAGGGAATTTGCTATGGTGTTTTGGGCCTTGCCAGCCGGTTACTGGACCGTTTCTAAGTGAATACTTGGGTGTTTGAGGGGTTGCAAGCACATTGCTAAGGTAATCTGGGTGGTTGCTATTGCATTACTACTGTAGGTGGTTGCTAGGATGTTCTGGGGATTTCTGTAGCATTGTTAAGGTATTTTGTGTGATTGATATGGCGTTTCTGTATGGTTGCTAGGGCATACCTAAGTGGTGATCTGGGTGGTTGCTTGGGTGTTGCTAAATTATTGTGAAGCAATTGCTAATGGTTATTGCTAAAAGGCATAGAATCAATTGTCATGCTGTTCTGGGGGTTGCCAGGGTACTGCTAAGGTAATCTGGGTGGTTGCTATGGCATTTGCTGTGGCGTTCTGGGGGTTTCTAGAGCATTGCAAGGCAATTAGTATGGAGATTGAGGGGTTTCAGGTGCATGGGGCATTGATAGGCAGTTTCTAGGGTCATCTGGGCGGTTGCTAGAGCATTGCTAGGGTGTTGTTAGGTATTTGCCAGAAGAAGTTCAGGGTAGTTGCAAGAACTGTTTCACCCAAAGACCTAAAAATGGTCTTCAAAATGCCTTCTTTTGTAGCTTAATGTGAATTGTCAATAAACTGCACTGAGAAATACAAACTCACCTCATGTGGGCACATTTCACAGGACTGTAAATGGCACAATCCCCGTGAGAGTTGCTCCGTCCCACTTGAGCAGCAGGACTCTAATCCCTTTTCTATGGCACTGTTCACGTCGTCTATTGGAAATGCACACAAGGCAGACTGGCTGATAGGATTCCCATTTTGATCTGATACAGCAAACACCCCATACAGAATTGGGCTTTCCATCTTCACCCCTAGGTCATCGGCCAGCTCCTTGCCTGCTGTACTGAAGTGAGCAGCTTGAACCAAGTTGTACACAACATCCCTATAGCTCCTTCTCCGGCGTTTGGGTTCAAAGCGGCATTCCAGAACGATCTCCCTGTACATCCAAAACTCGCTGTCACTGATCGGCAGACGCCCAAGATGGGTCTGCAACTTGGCGTTTGTTTTCATAGGGCTCTCTCTCTGTACAGACAAGAAATACACATATTTTTCCGTGGAGAACGTATAGATGTAGTCAATGGTAAATGTATCCTGGAATTTGGGAAGAACTGTTAGATCCTTCCTTTGGCTGTCAAAACCATTTTCTGTGTTAAGTATGCGGCGAATGGAAAGAGAGGGCTTGCCGAAAGTCCTGGCAATTGTAGTATTGATGGTAGCTGCTGTAAAGAAGTACGTTGAAAAACCATCTTTGACTGCACTGACCTTTGTTCCCAGAGGACTAGCAACACAGTCAGGACAATCCGAGCGCGAGTTGGCTTTTGCATTAAAAAAACATTCAGGGTTAGGTTTTAGGCCTTCATTAAGTTCAAGAATGTTACAGACTCCATACTGGGTGCTCCCACAGATGTACAGGAAGTCAAGATGGCCATGAGGCTCTAAAACAAGAACTTGATTATCTGTGTCCAGTGAAGTTCCAGGTTCATTCTCAATTTCACAGTGACAGGTCTGACAGTCTGGACTGCCAACTGGACCAGTTCTTACTTCCCATAGTTTAGTGAGATTTTTGTCCAAGGCTTCAACAACATTTTGAGACGCTACATAAACTTCGTCAAAAATTTCCTTGACAACTATGTTCTGTATGGATTTTGTAGTTTGGAAAAAAGAGACAGAGTAGGCAACAGAGAAGTTTATGTTCATTTGCGGGATCGCAGGACATGTTTTTAGGGCACAGGTCAAATGTATCTGCAACCAGACACACTTTAACAAGGTCCTGGGGCTGATGAACATCTCCACAGTCCTATGTAGCCTGAGGTGACAGGATGTCACTGCTGTTATTAACACATGATGAAGATAACCAGGACCTTTGAGTGGAAAAATGACAAAAATAGATGGAAGTGAGATTAACAATCACTGAAAAATGATTTCTTCATTATGTCAAAACAACATCTATTTCATCCATTTACATTATTTTGTCAGTTTGCTCATATTATATTATATTGCAAAGTTCTCCCTTACTCTGTTATGCATGTATTAGTGGTTGTTACACAAATCATGCTTGCTTCATTGTACATTTAGTAAATAAACTGATTTGTGGTCTTGAAATTAAATGAACTTGACACCACATTTTACTTTTAAAATCAATGAATGCTTTAAGGTTTTTGTTTTAAATTCTGTGGGCTCAATTTTGTACAATGTGCATAGAGTAAAAAAAAAAAGAAAAAAGAATGTAGCACAGTTTGTTTGTTTTTTTAACCAAAAAAGGGCTACATTTACATGAATGCTTTTGGCAGCTTAAAACCAAAGAGACTTGTTGCATTCAAGGTTTACATCACACCTTCCATAGTTAAATGGTGGTCTAGGAAACCAGGGTTGTCAATAAATAAATAATAGCCTACAGCCTGAAATTCAAGGCGTATACTCATATTTGGTATTTTGGCGGAAACTGTAACTATCCATGCTAATAGTTTGCAAGTGAACTCGCCTATGAAGTAGACGGGAAATGGCTGAATAATTACGCAATATATAGTTTTAAGAGAAAGATTTTCTCTGTAATGTAGGCTATTACGTGCATAAACTCCTTTCAATCTAATTTCTTTCCGAGTTAGAATAATGAAAACGGTATGCAACTTTACGCGCACTTTTAAACAGTCGATAAACAAACATGTCAAAGCGTAACCAGCTTTGATTTTCGTTTTTAGTCACGGAGTTGTCTAAATATTTAGGCTATATTCTAAAGAATATTAACGAAAATGTAGCGTGGAAATGACAAAAAGGTCTAAGCACTGACTAAAAGGATAAAAAACGACTGAATAGTAATTGTAAAAAAGTGTGTGAGTTTACCTGAAGCTCACCTGTGGCCTTTTACCACTTTCTCTGAAGTCCAATGAAGAGTGAACGTGCGCTCTTAAAAGCCAAACTCCATAACAAAAACTCCACAGAATACGACATCAGTGATTTTACTTGATAAGTTGTAGGCTACCTACCTGAAGAAAAAAAAATAAAGCCTCACAAGATTGACTGGTTTCTTCGACGGGACAGTTTCGACTTCTTGTATTAGCATGAGACAGGGAATACGGTCAGTCCCACTCCCACAGAACACGCCTGAACATCTCATAAGGAAGTGAAGTTGCACAATTCCTCCTCAATCTAAACATCTCCCCAGGGAAATAAAAATTAAGGCTTGCACACCCCTTTCCTTGTCTAAGCAGTATTTAAGCGCATTTAACATCTAAATGACGACTACAAGATCTGGATTTCCTTGGCTAGTCAGTCAGAGCAATAACATGTTTGAAGGAATGCAGGGAATTTAATTCCCATGCAGGGCTATTCTGGGGTGAGAGGAAAAAGAATGTAATGGAAATGTAAACTAGCAATACACATTACACCATGCATAGCCCACAGTAGTTCACTTTACGTGGATGTTGTGTGATAGCCTATATAATGCAGGTGTTCCACACTGTGGTCTCGGGAGGGAGAAATGAGTAATTGTGTTTTGTGTGTAGCCATTTTTTTTTTATGTTGTTACATGAGTGGCATGTAGACGGGCGTAATAGATGATGTAATGATGGATTTCACATAATTACAGATGTTCTATTTACTATTTATGTTGTTGTTTGTTGGTTCTATTGTCCAGATAAGATTATGTATTTGAATAATTATGCTTACTTTATTATACGAATTTATTTGTCGTAATTTGTCTAAATATACAAATATTTTGTAAATAATAAATCATTTATAAATCATTATTATTTTCTTATTTAAGTCCTTAGTTCGTACAGCACGTTCGTATTAAATATTTAAAAATATATATATATATTATTACATTATATGCTATGTATTTAGTATATCCACTTGGTGGCGCCAACAACCTGTATAATATATAAACTGCTACAACGTTTCATAAATTCAGAATGCTTTGTAAAATATATCCAGATCTATTTAAACACCATTACTTACAGTTTGACTATGAAGGGATTAAAACAATATTCTATGAAATATTAATAAAGATGCACTTTAAATTCTTCTGTTATGAGTAATAATCAACAACATGCATGTGCCAGTTTTGTGCACACTGCAGATGCTACTGTTATTAATTATGAGTTACATGGACATTGCAATGAAACAGAAATGTATAATGTTTAAGAGAAATGCTGTTCTTTACAGCATTTGAGAACAGCTCAGCCTGTTATTAAACAGCCCATTTTAGACAGCCAGTTAAGGCAGAAAGGTCATCCAGACTTCCTTTTGTCAGCTCAAACTCAGTTTGGGGTCTGTTCAGACCTCTTTAATGTGTGTCTGTTTGCCAGAACGGGTGGAAGTAGAGTTGTTGTTAAACAGAGTACCCAGTAAACTACATGCGTCATAGCTATTCACATTGGAGTGAATGCTATTCTCTCTGTCTATCTCTGAATGTCCAACAGTGCCGCTCAGGCCTCTGCTGAGGAACAGAGTGATAGTACATAAAGTCTTTCCAAAACACGAGAAAGAGAAAAACAGGTGGCTAAAGACTCCATGAAATAAGAGTTTTGGAGTTTTGTGGCTTTTAGTTAATGCCATTGAGTTCATTTAGCAGAGTAAAAAAGTTAAGAAACAATTAATTTTGTCATTTAACATCCATATTGTCTCTCAATACCTCTAAATTAGAAAATAATTCCTTTATTTTGAAAGAAGTGATCAGTGAATGCATTTTGTGCCGAAGCAATGATAAATGACCTGCAGTTTGTCCCACACAGACTGATGCTAATTTGATCACTGCGTGAAGAGTTTTGAAAAATGAACTTGGAAAAAAAGCTAAAAACTAAGTTTGAGGTAAAAAACAACAACACCCATGCATCAATACAGCCAGCTGAGGGCAGTTTCTTGCATGCATCTTGCCATTTATTACTTTTTCTGACATTGTCAACTTTATAAAAGGCCTTTTTGATGCATTTCCAGTTCCAAAGACAAGCCACTAATTCAATTTGTTAACTCATCAGCTGTGAAGCATGGTACTCTGTTCGCGTTTGATCGCTTTAATTCAGTGGTTTATTTCACTGAGCTCCACTGGTGTGCAAGTTTGACGTTTTACTTCTGGTTTGCATAACTGTGAAACAGTCGCAGAAACACACACAATGTTCCCCTCTCACTCTTTGAATATCTGATTTAGTGCAATTTATTTGCATGACAAATTAGGTGCAAACAATACAAAATACATTAAAATAACTACAATTTTTTATGATAACAACATAACAATAATAATAATAAAAATAAGAAAAAAGAAATTGAAAGCACACAGCAATAGGTAAAAGAATGTGATTGTTATGCAAACCGACAAATTTAGAATTTTATACATTTCATTTTAGTGAATATTTCTATTTTATGCATTGACAACCATTGCGTATTTATATGCCTGCAACCAACATCTCTCTCTCTCTCTCTCTCTCTCTCTCTCTCTCTCTCTCTCTCTCTCTCTCTCTCTCAACTCCACCACTCTCGATGTACTTGGCTGGGTCCATGAGCCAGGCAGTCACTACTAAATAAATGCATGGAAGGAAGGAAGCAAGGCAGACTAATGCCAAACAGCAGAAAAAATGATGGGAGTAAAAAAAAAGAAAAAAAGAAAACAGGTCAGAAAAAAATGTCTTGATGAAACAATAAAATATGTAAATCTATTAGGATTAGGCCTATTATCATTACATGACCATTTTCACCTTCTCTCCATCCCTTTATTAAACAGGCTATAATTTGCTGTACCTTTAATAATTCTATGTAAATTTATTCATTGCATAAGAAATGAGAAACAACGCTTTACTGACAGGTTTTATGTATGCTGTTGATTCCACAGGCAATTGGCAATGTCCCATCCTTCATTAACAACATATTTGAAAAAGCATACATCGTGACCAAGCGCACAAAGCAGTTCAATGTGAAATGTACCGCATGAAAAGTTAGCTGTTTTTTTAATGAACCAGAAAAAAACCCATACTTCCCCATTTCTTACTCCTCAGTTCATCATTTGACAAATTAAAATAGTATTAAATAGATTTTTCAAGGTATGATGCTTAAAATAATACCATCAATTACTGTAATAGGAATTAGATCTGCAGACTATTATTATATAGACCTAGAGAGATGTTAGCAAAGAAAAACTCATGCCACTGTATGGCTTGACATATATGGCTTGCTGTTTCACATAAGATGGTAAGCAGCAACACGAGGTAACCACCAGTCCAACATCACCATATCCCTTTTTCACTTCCGTCTGATACCTAAAAACCCGTTTGAACTATAATAATGATGCATTCCCCTGAAGAGAGTCTGTGTTTCATTTAGTTCTGGAACAACGGATACTAGAGTGACTATTTTCAGAGATTTTTTTTTTCAATGTCAGTTTTGTATATACAAACACATGTGTATTTATATATATTTGTGTGTATATATATATATATATATATATATATATATATATATATATATATATATATATATATATATAAAATGTGTGTGTGAGTGTGTATGAACACATATATATATATATATATATATATATTAGGGCTGTCAAACGATTAATCAAGATCCAAAATAAAAGTTTGTGTTTATATAATATATGTGGGTGCGCTAATTATTTTGTATATATATATATGTACACACACACACACACACACACACACACACACACACACACACACACACACACACACACACATATATATGAAAGGGGAATTTTACTTTTTAGAGAACAGAAGAGAACAGAATTCAAAAAATTCTAATTTAAGAGAGTGAACTGTTTGAAACCAATACAAAAGAACTGTTGTATGTATATGTAACTACTTTTGACTCTTTTGAAACCTTGTACTTTTGAAGCCTTATAGATGATAGCCCTTAATTGCGACAACTTTCCTGTGTGACAATCAGGCCTGATTTCCTCTGTTCCTTTGCAATTGGCTTGAACATTGAAATTTTCCTTGACTTTAGATTAATGCGAATTTGGGAGCTTTTCTAATCATCTTTAAATAGCCAAACATGGTTGTCATCATAGAGGAAATAGACGCAAAAAGATCAATAGACAAATGCCCAGTATAAACTGGACCAGTTCTATATTACATTTTTGGGGCGTTTTTCACCCAAATGTGTAGGAGGACAAGTCAAGAGTTTGAGAACAGAATGTGAATGATCCTCCATTGTTTGATGAGCAAAAGGCTCATTGTCTTGGAGAGAGAAGGAGTGACAAATAAACTACCCACACACACACAGACTCTGTGGACTGCTAACGTCATAATTATTGGATATTCTTGTGAGATACGCTCTAGTTGTACTTTACATTAGCCTGCGTCATCGCTCACCAAAGAACTTGCTTGTAAGTTATACATCACGGCTTGATTGGTACTGTAGATCATGTGAACTTCTGTCCATCATTGGGGAGTCAGCCACTGTTACACAACTCATTATAACATAGGTTAAACCGGTTAGTCACTCTTTAAAACACAATGTTTATTTTAAGCAGGCAATTTAATGTCTAACAATGGCTATGATTACTTTGACTTGACCCTAATGGCATTGGCATGTAACTCAAATTTCAATGTCAAATCCATTCACTCACCGGCACTTTAATTGGGAAATAATAGTCATGTGTGGAATTAATGGCTCTCACTATCCTGAATTACTCCCTGGACATTCCCAAAACGGACTGGGTGAGATACGTATTTATATAGGAGTGGTTGCTGCGATTTTCGGTAGGATGCTGATGATTCACGGTGATGCTCACCTGGGTGTTCATAAGCCTAATTTAAATTAAATGTGCATGGAAGGCCAGGTGGAGCTTGAGGCATTTGTGGAGACCTGTAAACTGAAACAGAAGTGCTTAAAGCAGAGGCATGGTAATTTGGGGCTTTAGTCCACCATTGCCATATTACATTTTGTATCATTTGTCCTAAAATAGGAAATTTGTTTCCACCATCGATGCGTATGATACAGACACACATAACATACTAAGAACATATAACATCTACAAAAAAAGAGCATACATACATATTTAGGGCTCGTATGGATACAGGAACTTTTACTGAACTTGGCTTTTCTACACATCGGTAACCTATACCTACGGCCAGAAGGCAGAATAATAAAACATTTATACAGAGGGTGTTCTA